GATTCCAGCATGGATTCTGAACCGGCGGAGGCGGAGCTTTGTGTCCCGCCTGCCGAGCCGCATGCGCTTGGCGAGTGCCCGGTGACAGCTTGGGATTCTGCTTCAGAGTCTGGCAAGAAGCAGCAAGAGCTGCAACTCACGCCAGGGGAGTGTGTCGAAGCTCCCACTTCAGTCGATGGCAGAAGCGCATCACAGGCGGATGCCTGCGACATCGGGCTTGATGATTGCTGCACGCAGCTGGGCGAGTTAGATGATGTTTTTGGGAATTCAGCAGAAGAGATGGGCAGTCCAGGACCTCAGCGAGAAGATCGCGAACTTGCCACTCCCAGCACGGATGCACTTGGGGAGGAGTCCCGCACGTCTGTCTTGGCTTTAGCTGCAGATGGTGCATCAACGTTGGAGGATGAGCAGCTGCCGGATGAGTCGGTGGTTTGTTCGGAGCTTGCTGGGGCCGACCCAAGCAGTTCGGATCTGGATTTGGGCATCGCCATCGCTGCGCCAATTCTGCCAGAGTCCGTGCCATCTGATTGCGAGGTCACCGATGCAACTCAATGCATGGCCTCAAGTGGTGAATCAGAGACGGCCTTCAGCATCAAGGCTTCCGGCATTGCAGAAAGTGCAGCCGAATCCGATGGTTTGGCTTCGCCGAGCATCACCAACGCGGCCGATGTGAGCACGGGTCCTTCTCAAGCACGCGATGAGCCTTTTGAGGAGAGGCTGAGCGGAGGCGACGGAGATGTGTTGGCCGCAGACTCGGAGCACACTGACGACGGAGCTGTTCGCAAGGATTCCAGCATGGATTCTGAACCGGCGGAGGCGGAGCTTTGTGTCCCGCATGCCGAGCCGCATGCGCTTGGCGAGTGCCCGGTGACAGCTTGGGATTCTGCTTCAGAGTCTGGCAAGAAGCAGCAAGAGCTGCAACTCACGCCGGGGGAGTGTGTCGAAGCTGCCACTTCAGTCGATGGCAGAAGCGCATCACAGACGGATGTCTGGGACATCGGGCTTGATGATTGCTGCATGCAGCGGGGCGAGTTAGATGATGTTTTTGGGAATTCAGCAGAAGAGATGGGCAGTCCAGGACCTCAGCGAGAAGATCGCGAACTTGCCACTCCCAGCACGGATGCACTTGGGGAGGAGTCCCGAACGCCTGTCTTGGCTTTAGCTGCAGATGGTGCATCAGCGTTGGAGGATGAGCAGCTGCCGGATGAGTCGGTGGTTTGTTCAGAGCTTGCTGGGGCCGACCCAAGCAGTTCGGATCCGGATTTGGGCATCGCCATCGCTGCGCCAATTCTGCCAAAGTCCGTGCCATCTGATTGCGAGGTCACCGATGCAACTCAATGCATGGCCTCAAGTGGTGAATCAGAGACGGCCTTCAGCATCAAGGCTTCCGGCATTGCAGAAAGTGCAGCCGAATCCGATGGTTTGGCTTCGCCGAGCATCACCAACGCGGCCGATGTGAGCACGGGGCCGGATCAGCAGATGCTGATGGTTGCTTCAGTTGCTGAGGCAAGCACTCCTCTGCCAACTGCTTGCCATGCCGATGATGCTGGGGAAAGACGCACGAAGGACGGGTGTTTAATCTTGCCTGTCATGCGCGCATCATGCGTAGTTGCTCTTGGCTGGGGTTTCACATTCCTGCTGGCCGCGGCTGAGCCTCTGATCAGGAGGCAGCGCCGCGAAGAGCGGCCTGGATTTGCTTTCTCGTCGAAGCTTGGCTCGCACGCAGGTTGACTCACAGTCCAGGTTCCGAGTCGCGGACTTAAAACAAGCTGCCCTCTGCCTGCTGACGAAGGTGGCTTTGACGCTTCCGGAGCTCGCTTGGCGCCTGGGACCTGCGCCGGAAACTTTCGTTTGAGGCTGCAGCTTGTAGCCTGCTCACAGAGACGGGGCGCTGGAAGCGCGGTGCTTTTCGAATTTTGATGTGATGGGAGCCTGAGCTTCCTGAGCTTATGGGTTCAGGCACGTGCTTTCCAGACGAATTCAGTTGCCGAAATGGAGGTATTCCATCAAGCCGGGCGACGTGGCGATTGCTCATGTACAGATTGCAGGTTTAGCATGTAAGGAGGAGCATCTCTGGACTCTCTTGGAAGCCTTTACTAACTCTTCCATCGGATGTTCTCAAGACTGAATTGTAAGGCTACTTGAAAAAAAAAACCCTGCTTCGGGCTGGAGTCCGGTAGACAAGTCGCCCGCAGGGAAGCACGCCGCAGACCTCCTAGACTCGAGGGTCAGAGCAATTCGAGTAGGTGCTTGGACTTGGACATACAGCACGCCGGCATGGGCAGAAAGATTGCAAAACTGCGTGATTCTTTAAGGGAGTGCGCCATATAAACGCCGACTGCGGTTTCGATTGTGTGCATGAGTGATCGGAGTGATTTGACCAGTGGGGGTGGTAAGGAACGGGTTGGGGAGCACTACTATAGCACGCAGATGCGCGCAGTAATGGTAGAAGTTGTCGTGGCAAAGTACAGGCCAGGGCGGGAAGCCGGTCAGAGAAACCGTTTGGTGGGGAGGGGGCAATACGATCCACATGAACAATCGATAAGGCTGATGATGGCGGGGTCATTCACACGATTCAAACCGACGCCTTGTTCTGTTTTTCAATGAAGTATTGGCCAGGATTGGGAACCATCATGGCAACATACTCTCTTGAAGATGCTGCCGAGGCCTGGGGACAGATCACTTTTGTCAAAATGGTGGGCGACAACAGTGCTCAGCACCACATACAACACATCTTGAAAACTTCTGCGTTCAAGAATGAATTTTCAGCAATGCTGGGATCAGGTGATCCCGACCTGCTGTTGAAGTAGATCATGCGATGATCGTTTTCGACACTGTCATGGGCAAGACGGTTGAATGGAACTGGGGATGTTTGGTGCGCAAGCATGGGCAAGCCTTAGTTTGAGAACAGCATTTAACCGTATTGAGTTCAGACATCTGCTTGAAGCATTACGAAGGACAAGGTGTCGGGCGCAGACATTCATCTCCTACGGAGATTTTACAGGTCGCAGTCTGGCTCTTTGGAAGGAGGCGCAGATAGGCGCATTGTATTCAGCGTGGTGTATAAAGCAACGTGACGCTGTGGCGCCGGCATTGTTCAATGCTAGTCCCGGCAGCATACTGGGCAGCATGGATGGACGCGCTGCCGGTCATCCGCTCCCGCCTCCGGCAGTCCGCTGACCGCTGCCCCGAGGCTTTTTTGGAGCAAGGAAACACCGGCGGAGACCGGCCTCTGGCCTGCGAGGGAGGGGCAGCGGCCGCCCCCGCAACCTTCTGCTGGCGGAAGGATGGGACAGCTGCACGTGGCACACCGCCTACGACGGGGAACTGGCCGCACGGCTGGCAGCCTCGTGCGACGCGGACACGCAATCTTTCGTATCGCGATCGCGGGTTGTTGCCGGCCCTGGAACCGGCTTCCAGGGCACTACGTGCTGCAAACCCTCGCGTTGTCCCGGCTCACCGCCCTTTCTAAACCTGGCGGCGGCGTTCGCGGGATCGCGACCGGAGACACGCTGCGCCGACTCGTGTCGTGAGCATTGGCACGACAGTATGCGGACACGTTCGACCGCACCACGAGGCCCTTCCAGTTCGCGCTTCAGGCCCGTGCGGGGACGGATTGCCTGGCAGCGATGCTGCGCGCGGCGAGCGAATTGGATGCCGATGCTACCATCGTCTCGCTCGACGGCCGGAGCGACACGGTCTCCCGGGCCGCCTTCCTGACGAAGCTGCGTGAGGTTGCTCCAGCCCTCGTCCCGTATGTGCGGGCGTGGTACGGCGGCACCTCCACGTATTCGTGGTGGGATGCCGAGGGCCGGCGCCACGAGATGTCGCAAGGTGACGGCTGCGAGCAGGGAGATGCCTTATAGCACCGGCTCTGTATACTCCCTGGCGCAACACGACGCCCTGGCTGCGGCACAAGGGCGATTGGAGCCGGGGGATTTCCTCGCCGCTTTTTTGGACGATCTGTATCTCGTCACCACTCCAGCTCGTGCAAGGCCTGCGCTAGATGATGTCACCCGCACAGTCGAGCGGCATGCGGGTGTCGCAGCGAATCTCGGCAAGACTCGGGTCTATCGCGCAAGTGGCGGGCCGCCACCGCCCGATGTCGAAGCGCTCGGGCCCGACGTCTGGTGCGGAGGTGACAGCGAGCCGGCGTCTTGCGGCTTCGTTGCGCTGGGCGTGCCGATCGGGCATACGGCGTTCATGCGACGCAGTTTCGCTGCGAGACTCGAGGAAGAGCGCCCCCTGCTGCAGGAACTGCCGGAATTGCCTGACATGCAGGGAGCGTGGCATAGCGTGGCTGCTCCTGCTCTACTGCGCCAGCCCGCGCGCCCAACATGCTTTGCGCGCAGTGCCGCCGATGGACTCGGCCGCCTATGCGGCAGAGCACGATCAGGCGGTTTGGACAACGGTACAGCACCTGTTAGCGGAGCAGGATACGCGAGGACGGGAGTGGCATGCGGCGCGCCAAATCGCTTTCCTCCCCGCGGCATCTGGTGGCCTCGGTCTAGCTAACGCGGAGCGACTGGCCCCCGCGGCCTACTGCGCGGCTTGGGTGGACGCGCTCTCGGTAATGCTGCAGAGATGCCTAGAGGTCGCTCGTCGCTACGCGCCAGAACTCGCTCTTGGCGGCGGGTCGACTGCGCCTTGCCTGCGGGCCGCTGCGGCAGCGGGTGACAGGTTGCTCGCCGAAGGGTGGAGTGCGCACCCGGAGTGGGATGACTTGCTCCACGGGGTGCGGCCGCCGCCTACGCACACTGAGCCCTCAGAGCCTGGAAGTTGGCCTCATGGTTGGCAGAAGCTGGCAGCTCGTTCGCGTGCTCAACACGTCCTATCGCGAGCGCCTCCTCAGCAGCTTGTCGCCGAGTTCCCGAGCTCTGCTGCGCTCCCAGGCGGGCGCGCGTGCCGGCGAGTACCCTTGGCGTCGGCCCGTTGCGGTGGAAATGGCGAGCCAGGCTGCCGAGCTGTGGTGGACCAGCTGGGCGACCATCGCGCCGCCTGCGCCCGGAGCGGGCTGCTAGCCAGGCGGGCTCCCATACTTGAGCGAGCATGGGTTCGCGTCGCGCGGGAAGCCGTCACCGCCGAAGGGCGGGTGGTCCCCCAACAATGGCTGGCGCGGACCACCGCGCCGGGCGTAGCTCCAGATGACCGGCGCCGACTCGACCTCGTCATATATGGCGCGTCTCGGCGCGGCGAGGCACTATGGTAAGATGTGACCCTGGTTTCGCCGTTGCGGCCAGATGGGCGCCCGCAACCGGCCTCGTCAGAACGGGATGGGGCTGCCATCGACGTCGCGAGGCGGCGCAAACAACGGCGCAACCCTGAACTGGCCGGCCCGGGCCCGCAACGCCTCGTCGTCCTGGCTGCGGAGGTCGGCGGGTGATGGGGGCAAGAGGCGCACGACCTCGTCCGCAGCCTCGCGCAACAGCTTTCCCTGCGCGCGCCGCGGGCGCTGCGAGCTGCTGCCCGTGCGGGGTGGGAGCGTCGGTGGTGGGGGCAGCTCGGCTGCGC